ATTCTTTGTGTACAAAACAACTGCAGAAATCAGTTCACAACCAGCCACAGAGATCAAAACGCTCGACGTCGACGCACATTACGGAAAAAAACGAGCGGGAATTTCCGACAGGATCACACAGCGGTAAATCACCTCAGGGAAGCAGATAATGAGGCGGTGGTGATGAGATGTTTTCAGGGTGAAACTTTCTTCTTAATGAGAGGGACTGAAGCGAATACATGAAGATGCTGGATGTAGATATAAAAATAACGCGATAACAGAGCGCCAATGATGGCAGAAACACCTGGATTCGAAGCCGAGGTGCGTCAAGGCACGATGTGTGAAGTTCACTGCTGCTTTTGGTCAAAGCGCCTATACTGTCTTGCTGGTTGCATAACAAGATCCTTATTTGTTACATTTTGATCCAAATAGGAAGGATATAAATAATAAGAGTGTTCAAATCGAGTCAGAACTTTTACAAAAAGAGCTACTTGATTGTATATGCTGGTGTGAGAAAAACATCTTAGAGGGCAGTTCACCCAAAAAAAAACAACAACAACAACAACACATTCTGTCAGAATTTCTAGTCTTTGATTTCCATTGATTTCTAGTCTTTTTATTTACAACTAAGCAGTCAATGGCTAGCATTTATTAAAATAGCTATGTTTTTATTCATAAATGCGAATTAGCAACGAAATCTCACGGCGATTCGTAACTTTTTGATTTAGTGGCTAATTTGTATGAATAATCTAATTCGTAAGATTTTGTACAATTTACTCATCACCCAATGACAGTTGGGGTTAGGGGTGGGATTAGGTGCCACGCCTCCTTCTTAAAATCATACATTTTCATACGACTGAACATGTACGAATTTGTACGAATTAGCCACTAAACTGACAAAACGTAAAATACGTTTCCTCGTGAGATCAGGCTGACTTTGCGCAAAATTGGAATATGGTGTAAAACATTTTGTAAAACCGCGTTTCCATTCAATATGCCAGAGAACAAAATCGTCACTTGCTGGTAACCTTTATTTTGTATATTAAATTACTTGCGTTTCAAAAGACGAAGTGCAATGAATGTATGGTGGATTTTGGGAGTGCAAACGCTCAAGATGTAATAATATTGGACCACATAGAAGACTGACGGATTTTAGAATGACCAGAACAAAATTTAGTATGATTTACTACATGGCCAGTCTGCTGATTTCCCTTTGCAAAATTTTTATCATCGCATGATCTATTAAAACAAAATCAAGATTATTTTTGTTTGTATTTGCGAAAGTGTTTTTGCGATTTTAGTTTTTGCAAATTTTTCTTATTGTTTAAAAACGTTTGTCCAACTCAATTTTGGATGTAAATTTTTTTAACGATTTGTCAAAGACGACGCGCATCTTTTCATTTTCTTTACACATTTTTATGCGATATTGCAAAGTGCACTTAAAACTAGGTACATTTAAATATTTACCTTTTTTATGCATAATTATTAAATAAATCAAATTAATTAAATGTGTTTTTATCATAGTATATGCAAATTTTTCTTATCATATAAAAACTTTTTTTTTCTCATTTGTAAGCATACATGTTTTTTAGTACAAATTTTTTAAAATTATGCGCAAATTATGCGTTTTCCTTACAAATTTCTTATGCAATATTCCAAAATGCACATAGCCATTGTTGCCTGTTATGTTGAACAGAAAAAAAAACAGGTTTTGAACAAACATTTTAGTAAATTAGAGAAGAAAGTCATTTTTGGGTGAGCTGCGGCTTTAAGATCAAACCAACGCAATCTCAAGGCACTTCGTAACAATTTGATTTAGAGGTGTATTCTTATTAACTCATTTGTACAATTTGCTTATCCCCCAATGATGATTGAGTTTAGGGGTGGGGTTTGGTTCCATGCTTCTTTTTAAAAATTGTACATTTTAGTATAGGACTGAATTCGTACGAATCAGCTACTCAATTTAAATAGTTACGTTTCCTTGAGATCAGGCTGAATCAAACACACAAGAGGTAGAAAAGATTCTCTATTTGCTGAATTACAATTTTTTATACACTCAAAGACTTCTCAAATCACAGTATTAGAGGATCAATAAATCTTGAATTCCAGGCGTTCGATTCTCCAACGCGTCCCAAAATATTACACATTTACATAATAAAACAGCATGCTATGATAACATTCACGATATGCAGACACTGATTAGTTTTGTCGGATCTACATCCGTACGTTCCTGCCAAAAAACGACTTTTATTCGCTCACATTATGAATACTTGACATCTGAGCAAAAACGAGACATGATGCACTGAGAGGAAGACTGAATCCGAGCAGCAATGACAGGTAAATAATAAATAAAACGTACTACAATACATGATCTAGCATAGGTTTTTTTTGTACAAGGGATGGGAAGGAAATGTCGTGGCGATGAATGCAGCTGGTTATTAATGCATATAGATATGTTCGTAAGGAGTTATGCGATGAGTAAATGGGAGACATTTCGTTTTGGTGATGCTGTTACGAGCTCTTTGTGCTGGTTATTATACCCTGGATTACATTTCAGCGAAGATTAGGTAGCACTTCCAGCATATTCAGAATTCAGATTTTCCATTCAAACGAAACCCTGTTTTCTGCAAGCACCCAAATGAGCAACGGCTCAGCAAGAAGACTAAATCTAAAAGGGTGAAGCATTAAATTAAGGTCTTTAAATTTAGCAACATGCAGCTTCGGGGAATACAAAAAAAAATAATGAAGAGACTACTTGAAAGTTCTCAGTATCTATGGATTTATCACCCATTGTGTATTGTTTAGATTGACTACACTTTCATGATGTTAGTGGCTGTTTTTGCCCCATTGACTTCCATTTGTAATGACATTTTTTTATTGCAAAGCCTTGATACTAAACAATCATGCATTCTTGATTATTGGTTGTTTTCCCTATTGGGTAGAGGTACAATTTGTCGTTTTAATTGTTGGTTAAGATTTGGCACCAGTAACCCTTCAGACAGGCCTGTGCAAACCAGTGTCTGGCTTTTATATGGAGTTCTACAGATCAAAGAGTGCATGCTTAATTATACTTACTATGTTCTGGGAGCCTTAGATTCTTATTTAGATATACTCAGACATATAAAAATAAATGTGCAAAGGTCTCTCACACACACAATACTCGAAATAACTCCATATAAATGCCAGAAACTAAGCTTTGTTTTGCACTGTAACTGATGATTTAAAGCAAAAATTACAAATCATACCTCTTCCCAACAGGGAAATCCACCAACAGCCAAGAACGCATGATTATACGGCGTCAAGGCTTTGCAATCAAAAATGCAATTATAATGGAAGTCAATGGGGCAAAAACAGCCACCAACATAACGAAAGTTTTTGAAAATTTTCCCAAAATATGTGTCTAAATAAGATTTGGCACCAAAAGTCATTCCATTTGGTGAGAAACAGAGAAAGTTGTGGCCAAAATGAAACTCAAAAATCACCCCAGAGGATGAAAACATCCCCAACAGCACACAAGGGTTAGTACATTTGTGGTAATGCTTTAACTAATGGAACCTGTTTGTAACTAGGGCTGCAACTAACGATTATTTTTAATAATCGATTGATCTGGCAATTATTTTTCCGATTAATCGAGGAATCGGATAATTAAAAAAAATAAAAATAAATAAATGAAAAAAACTTTCATTTCCAACAGTTTTTTTTTTTCAAAAAAGCTCATCCCTGAGCTGTTATAATAGCAATAATAATAATAAAAAAGTTTTTAATACAAATATATGAATATTTTTAAATCAAGATGCATACTAGACGCATGAAATAGCATAAGAAATTGTCTTGTTTTCTGAAAGAGAAAAAAAAAAAAAAAGCACTCTTTCGACGGGACGGTTCCTTCCTGAGAGCTCTGCTCAGCGCGAGCTCTCTCTGCCTCAGCACCAGACACCGCAACAAAGCTCAGTTTGATTTTCACAAAGGTAAACGAGTTAACGCTAACTTGTCATGCTTGTCAAGTTGGATAAAAAGTAAAACAGCAGTACCAGGGACTTTACGGTCCTCACTTCAAAACGGAACAAAAGTAGGACCCTGCTGTTGAACTCCCTTCCTCCTCATCCTCGTCTATGAGGCGCCGAACTCTGTATCAGTGCGCGAGAGAGACCGTGTTCACTCCGCTCCTGGCTAAACTAAAGTGTTTTTTAATAATCAAACATTCCTGTGTCGCACAACACAACAAATCGATTAAGAAATTCGTTGCCAACGCTTTTAGTAATCGACTTTTATCAATTCATTGTTGCAGCCCTATTTGTAACAATGCATTTCCTAACATGAAAAAAAAACACTACTTAAGCAGGTCGCACACCAGAAGCGCCATGCATTTTGGAATTCTAAACATAGGTTTCTATCAGGATACACACACCGGCGCTGCAAGTCGGCGGCGCCCGGCCACGGCTCAGGAGCGCCATCTGATTAGCTTCATGTTAAATATCATTCGAATGTGCGCGTCTGGTGTGTGATACAAACTATCATGTGCGCTCCGTGTTGCGGCACCGAGCAGCGCTTCTGGTGTGCGACCTGCTTTACAGTATATACTGAAATTAGTTCATGATAGTTAATAAAAATAATAAATTTAATTTTGAACTCAGGAGTGTATCAACTAATGTTAATCAGAACAGCTTTGTAATTGAACTATGTACTGTAATAAACATTTTTCATTCTTACTACATGTTTGTAAATATACCGACATTAATGAAACCTAAAGTGTGACCAATATAAACTTTGTTCTAAAAAGCTCTGATTAAAATGTTATATATATATATATATATATATATATATTTTTTTTTTTTTAATTTTTTTTTTATTTATATATATATATATATATTTAATATAATAAAATAAAAAAAATGTAATTTAATGCAAAATGAATTTTATTTGAAATGAAATTTTACTTGGGAATTATTTAGAAATTATTCCGGATATGTCATTGGTAATTTATATAACTATAATTAATAAATCAAGCAGTCTCTTCATTGTTTTCTTTTCCCATAGCTGTATGTTTAAACACGATTTTTCTGTAAACATCATGAAATGATATGCTTCTCCACTTGCATAAAAGAAAAAAAAAAGATTATAAAATTTCCAATGTTGATTAAATCATGAAAACAAGCAAAAAGAAACACTATGTAGTATATAATACAATAAATAATATGTATATTTCCTATATATAAGGAGTCTGCTGTAAAACTAAGCAAATGCAGCAAACTAAATCATGGCACAGCTTGTTTTGATTAAAGAACAAAATAAAAAGTGGCGGTTTATATTGTGATATGGAAGGAGTCATGTATCCAGCTGTCCTTGGACGTCCCGTTCTTTGGGGAAGTATCATTTCCATCAGGCGTTTCGGCTGGCGTCACTGCGGATTCAGTATAATATTCCTCGTCTTCGTCGAAATAGCCGTTCTCCATGCCGTATGGTCCGTCCGCACTGGATACAGCCGAGAGGTCCTGACAGCTGCCCTTATACTCCTGGATGGACTCGTGAAGAGACCAGAGCTGACAGAGAAGAGACATGTCCTGCTGCCGCAAGCCCACCTGCGCACACACACACAATGTCACAGAGCCCACAGACAATCAATACCAGACATCTGCTCTCAAGTCTACTCAGGGTGTAGTCAAGTAGTGTAGATTCCGTGCCTTACTATTTCCAGCTTTGTTAGTATCTGATTAATGAAAAGATAATGCAATATACTCAAATTGCCCAAATCAATGACAAGTTAATAACATGGACACTAACGTACTTGCATTCATTTATTGCTGAATGGACTTTCTGAAAAGCACAAGTCTTTAAATAATTTCTATAACACATATTTGACAATTGTAATTGTTTTCATGGCGGGGTTCAAGAGTTCACACTTAGATAATGCTGGACCATTTAAGCAAGTTTGGCGTGCTGTCCTGGGAGGGAACTCTGAGCTCGGTGATAGATGAGCCCAAGGCTCCCGCCTGTTCAATAAGCATTAGGAGGGATACGAGATCAGGTAGTTCTCGATAGCTTCCCAAATAGACCGCTAGCTGCGCTATTTTGTAGTAAGTGCTTGTGACTTTAACTTTTGTTGCCTGGTTTTTGAGTGTGGGAGGAAACCGGAGTATCCGGGGAAAGAAAACCCACACAAACACGGGGAGAACATGCAAACTCCGCACAGAGAGTATCGGTTGGCTCAGCTAGTGTTCAACCAGTGACCTCATTGCTGTGGGGCAACAGTGCTACCCACCGAGCCACTTGCTGCATCCCAAATCGCATACTTATGCACTATTCTACGCCATTTTGTAGTATAAATAGTGTATGTAGTATGTTCACACTGACAACTCTGAAAACATTAAGTGCACTTTAATTACCCGGATGATGCACTCATTCAGCCGCTAAAATGAAGTGTGTAATGATGGACACTTCGCGCACTTAACGACCGCAGGTTTGCTTGCGTAGTGGAAGGGGCGGAGCTATCAGACGCACATGTTGTATAACTTTATTTATTTTGGATAGTGAAAGCAAAATTCTCCTACGAGAGTGATTATAGCGCCTCCCGATGGTGAATGCGGCAATACTCAGGGCAGATATTATTTGATAATTCGGTCGTTTATTTCACTGATTTGGCGACCGTCAGACGTCATCAGAGAAACGGTTTGAATTTCCGCTTAGTAAAAAAAAACATTAGTGTGCCTTTTGGGACAACATTACATACATTTACTATCCTGTTGAGTGTGTAAGTGCATAAGTACATGGTGCATGAGTGCATAGTGTGCCATTTGGGACGCAGCTACTGTGTCACCCGAACTAAGGAGGAGTGAGAAGGGGAGTGAGAAGGGGGTGGGGGGTATTAGGTTCCAAAACGAAGATGATGAATGAAGTTTAGGCTGGACATTTATATTGAATTTAGAGTGATACAATTGGCTAGTAAGTGATTAGTGATAGGGATCAGCTGTAGTCAATCCTATCACATGCTCCTCTCGAAATTAGTTTAAGAAACTTGACTTAAAATAAATGTATCTTTTTTTTTTATATAAATGATATAGGTACTTTGTGAATAAACGAGCTATTCAATTGAATTTAGCATTGACACGGTAGGTTTCCATGACTATTCTATTTTTATTGAATATATTTATAGAAAATAGATGGGTAAATACTAAAAAAAATGCCCTCAGACAAACATTGAATTGTAAACACTTGATTTGAATTTTATTTTTACTTTAAGGGGTTTCATATCAAAGTAAACGAGGAATTTCAGCATTATGGATGCGACATTTGCAGTGAAAAGAATGTAAAATGTTAACAGCATATTGACACATCGGTTTATATTTTCCAAAACAACGAACAAACACGTTTATGAAATTTTATTTGAGAGGGGTCTGGAAGCAGACCTGATGCAGTGCAATCTGAGCTGCATCCAATGATTTTTAATGGGCTCGCCTAACCCCACCCCTAACCATCACAGTTGATGTCACTCGCACCATTTGAGTGCATGTGTCTGACATTGCATCGCTGATTAATGCAATCTCAGCTTGCATCACAACGGCTGCATCCAGATACTATTGTTTTTTTGAGGGAATTAAATGTGCATTAACACTGGTGGAGATGAGATTACTTTCTGAAATGTGTGAATCGATTTGAGTAACCAGAAAAGCGCTAAATAAATGAGGAATTATAAGATAATTGTTATACAAGTTTACAGTATACAAAATACTTCTGTGAAATTCTGTGAATTCAACTGCAGCACTCAAAATAAATAATGCTGATCAAAAAGGGAAAGAGTTGACTCTGTAGAACAGAAAATGTATATTTTATTTTACATTTATGAGGGAAAAAGCTTCACTACAGATGTGCGACACTTCTGTGACTTTTGAAAATCAAAATAAAATTGAGTATTGTAACAAGACTGGACTTGGAAAAAGTTTTGTTATTTTGATGAAAACTTTTCACTTTTTTCACTTTTTTTTTTTTTTTTAATGTAACGTATTCTGAGGTTTTATTGATATTTAACAGCAATGTTTGTGTAAACTAAAAATATACACATACAATATTATGCCATTTAGATTTGATACATTTTTGTTAAACAATATTGCTGTTAAATATCAATACATTTTCCAAATACGTTACAAATTGATCATTAAAACAGCATCAAAATAATTTCTGTAAATATTTATAGTTTACACAAAAACTGTTAAATATAAATAATACCTCAGAATACGCTACAAACTGAACACTATTCAACAAAAATAAAACGATTTCCAAGAACGCATCAAATTAATTTCTGAGCATCACAGATTAGTTCCGATCATACAAGTAGATCATTTTGAAACCATAAATATGATGCAGTGTTCTTGGAAAATCATTTTATATTTGTCAAATAATGTTCGTTTTGTGACGTATTTTGAGGTTTTATTGACATTTAAATATTATGTCAAAAATATTGTTAAACAAAAAAAATTATGATATCTAAACAGCATAATATTGTATGTCCATTTATAAGTTTATACAAAAATTGTTGTTAAATATCAATAAAACTTCCGAAAACATTACAAACAGATCATTATTTAAAAAAAAAAAAAAAAAAAAAGAAACACTATTTTCCAAGAAAACCGCATCAAACTCATTTCTGTAAATATTTATAGTTTATACAAAATGATTGAGTTAAATGATCGGAACTAATCTGTGATGCTCAGAAATCAATTTGATGCGCTCTACTTGGAAATTGTTTTATTTTTGTTGAATAATATTCAATTTGTAGTTTTTATAGGTATTTAACAACAATTTTTGTATAAACTGTAAATATACCACCAATATTATGCCATTTACATTTGATACATTTTTGTTAAACGATGTTGTTAAATAATAATAAAACGCCTGAATACGTAACAAATCGATCATTATTCGACCAAAATAAAACGATTTCCAAGAACACAGCATCAAAATTATTTCTGTGAATATTTATAGTTTATACAAAAATAGTTAAATATCAATAAAACTTCCAAATACGTCACAGCGAACATTATTCATTATATATAAAATAAAACAATTTTGATTTCATTTTGAGCATCACAGATTTTGATTAATCTAAACTATAAATATTAACAAAAATGAGTTTGATGCGGTGTTTTAGGAAATAGTTTTATTTTGGTCGAATAATGTTCGATTTGTTATGTATTCGAAAGATTTGACTATATTTAACAATATTACTATTTAACAAAAACGTATCAAATCTAAATAGCATATTATTGTATGTGAATATTTATAGTTTATACAAACACCGTTGATAAATATCAACAAAACTTCAGAATACGTTACAAACCGAACATTATTCGATAAAAATAAAACGATTTTCCAAGAAGACCGCATCAAACTCATTTCTGAGCATCACAGATTAGTTCCGATCATTTTGGACGCGTTCAAATAGTTAGTAAACCACGAAGTCCCCTCAGAACTTTTATTTCTGTTTAAAGACTCTCAGAAATTCTTTATTCTCGTCAGTGCGGTCCAAACATGCCGTCTGGGTGTAAATCTCAGTGCTTGGCTTTTTAAACACAGGCACTGACAAGTTAACAGAACGCCTGCAGTAAGAGAGAACAGCTGTTGCTTATATTCTGCAAGCCTTACCATCTCTTTCCTGAGCAAAGCCAGGGCGGCATCCAGGTTCGCGGGTTTGTTGGCCAGCAGATTGTCCGCGTTGTTCCTGCCTCGGCTCAGGTCGTCCTGGATCATGGTCTTCTTCACGTACATCCTCTCCATGTCCCTCCACGAGCCGCCGCTGGAGTTCAGCAGCCCGCTCAGGCTCTTGGGCAGCGGCGGCAGACCCTCGATACAGGCCAGCACACCGCCCGCCGCTCCGTTCCCCACCTTATCATTCATAGTAACATTCACAAACAACGCGCTCTGCTTACGGACGACCGGGGCATGTGCTGCTTTTCTCAAAGACTTCAGCAGTCGGACGTCGAAAAGGCCATGTAACGTTAACAGCGAGCGCTCCGAACAACACCTATAATCTGTAGGGCTGGAGCTCAGCTCGCGCTCACTTCCTGTCGCTTTAAAGAGAAGCAGAGCAGACTGGGCGTGGCCGCCGATGACGGAGAGGAGGCTCGTTGAATATTCATAAGAATTAGGTTGTGATTTAATCTTCTGATCAGAGGGATGACAGCGCTATTGTTTGGTAACCTACATTTTGTTGACATGTTTCTATAACGATATTTAGATTTGTTAGTAAGCTGCTTTAAAAATATATATTATTTCGTAAAATTTAATAATACAGACATTATTTAAATTTGGTACTGTAATGTTTTTACAATATTAATTTATTCATTTTCTATTTGGCGTAGTCCTTTTATTAGTCAGGGGCCACCACAGCGGAATGAACCGCCAAATTATCTAGCATATGTTTTAGACACGAGATGGTTTATACAGAATATAAATGATATTCATACATTCATTCATTCTCTTGTCAGCTTAGTCAGATATTAATCTGGGCTCACCACAGCGGAATGAATCGCCAACTTATCCAGCATGTTTTACGCGGCGTATGGTTTTTACAATATAAAAGATAAATATACATACATTCATTAAATCATTCATTTTCTTTTTCGGCTTAGTCCCTTTATTAATCTGGGGTCGCCACAGCGGAATGAACCGCCAACTTATCCAACATATGTTATTACGCAGTGTATAATTTTTACAATATAAAAGATAAATATACATACCTTCATTCATTTCTTTTTCAGCTTAGTCCCTTTATTAGCCAGGGGTCCCCACAGCGGAATGAACCGCCAACTTATCCAGCATATGTTTTACGCAGCGGATGTTTTTTTTTACAAGATATAAATTATAAATATACATTCATTTTCTTTTCAGCTAAGTCCCTTTATAAAATCAGGGGTAGCCACAGCGGAATGAACCGCCAACTAATCCACTACATGTTTTAGACATGAGATGGTTTTTACAGTATATAAATGATTAATTTACATACTTTTATTAATTTTCTTTTCAGCTTAGTCCCTTTATTAATCTGGGATCACCACAGCGGAATGAACTGACAACTTATCCAGCATATGTTTTATGCAGCGGATAATTTTTACAATATAAAAGATAAATATTCATGCATTCATTCATTTTCTTTTTCGGCTTAGTCCCTTCATTAGTCTGGGTTCACCACAGCGGAATGAACCGGCAACTTATCCAACATATGGTATTACGCAGCGGATGCTTTTTACAATATTTATTCATTCATTTCTTTTTCGGCGTAGTCCCTTTATTAATCTGGGGTCGCCACAGCGGAATGAACCACCAACTTATCCAGCACATGTTTTACGCAGCGGATGGTTTTTACAATATAAATGATAAGTATACATACATCCATTAATTCATTTTCTTTTTCAGCTTAGTCCATTTATAAATTTGGGGTTGCCACAGCGGAATGAACCGCCAACTTATCTAGCATATGTTTTAGACACGAGATGGTTTTTACAGTATATAATTGATAAATATTCATACATTTATTCATTTTCTTTTTCGGCTTAGTCCGTTTATTAGTCAGGGGCTGCCACAGTGGAATGAACCGCCAACTTATCTAGCATGTTTTACGCAGCAGATGGTTTTTACAATAAAGATGATAAATATACATATATATATATATATATATATATATATATATATATATATATATATATATATATATATATATATATATATATATATATATATATATATATATATATATATATATATATATATATATATATATATATA